AAACATAATATGTGTTTTTGTTATGTAAACATAAAATGTGTTTTTGTTATGTAAACATAATATGTGTTTTTGTCATGTAAACATAATATATGTTTTTGTTATTCAAATATAATATATGTTTTGTTCTGTAAACATAATATATGTTTTTGTTATGTAAACATAATATGTGTTTTGTTATGTAAACATAATGTGTTTTTGTTATGTAAACATAATATGTGTTTTTGTTATGTAAACATAAAATGTGTTTTTGTTATGTAAACATAATATATGTTTTTGTTGTTTCTGTTTTTGTTACTTTTTTCTGCCATCTTATTTGTAAAAAAAAAGTCTGTATGCCTTTTTATAACTGTCCATTGTTGTCATCTTTCTTTGTTGAAATCAGGTCTCTCTTGTAAATGAGTCCTCGAGGTTCAATGAGATTTACCTGTCTAAATAATGGTTGAATGATGTATATATATCCAAAAAAGTTCAATCTGGTCCTCTGGACATTCAAAAAAAACAAAAACAAAACAAAGCAAAAAAATCTAGAAACATTTCGTCTCTCATCCAAGAGACTTCCTCAGTCTGAGGTGCTGTTTTCAGCTCAGTCTCTTAAATAGCACCTTCTCAGGGTGGATCAACCAGTTTTGATGCTGACAACCAAAACCAACTGATCACATGCTCAAGAAGGACCATCAGCCTAACAATGGATCATTAGCACACTGATGGCTGTTTACTACTCACAGAGGGCTGAGTGATACTAGCAATCACAGCATTGTAAGAGGGGGACAGTTGAACCCGGACTCTATATCACAGAGCAGACAGCATCCCCACTAGCTCGGGAGCCAGGCAGAAGGAGAAATCCTACACAAGACAGGCTCTAGAGCAATGTGGATATCCTAACTGGGCCTTCCTGAAAGCAGAGAAGAAACCCAAACAGGACTCCAGTCAGCCATCAGGTGAAAAGGAGGAACCCAGACCCAGACCAGTGGTCATTCCATATGTTGAGGGAGTATCAGAGAAACTGAGACGTTTATTTTCAAAACATAACGTCCCAGTGGCTTTTAAACCCCAAAATACATTATGGCAAAGACTGGTTCATCCCAAAGATCCAGTCCCCCGGCACAAACAGAGTAATGTTGTGTATGCTGTTCAGTGTCAGGAGGGCTGTGATCAGTCTTACATCGGGGAAACAAAACAGCCATTGGCCAAAAGGATGGCCCAGCACAGAAGATCAACATCATCAGGCCAGGACTCTGCGGTCTACACTCATCTCCAGGCCAGCGGTCACTCTTTCAGGGATGAAGATGTTCACATCCTGGACAGAGAGGAACGATGGTTTGAGAGAGGAGTAAAGGAGGCCATCTTTGTGAAAAGAAACCGTCCATCGTTAAACAGGGGTGGAGGCCTACGTTTTCAATTGTCCCCCTCTTACAATGCTGTGATTGCTAGTATCACTCAGCCCTCTGTGAATAGTAAACAGCCATCAGTGTGCTAATGATCCATTGTTAGGCTGATGGTCCTTCTTGAGCATGTGATCAGTTGGTTTTGGTTGTCAGCATCAAAACTGGTTGATCCATCCTGAGAAGGTGCTATTTAAGAGACTGAGCTGAAAACAGCACCTCAGACTGAGGAAGTCTCTTGGATGAGAGACGAAACGTTTCTACATTTTTTTGCTTTGTTTTTTTGTTTT